CGTTTGCATCCTTCCATCCAGCCGACTGGATCATGGCAGACACAGTGCATACGTGTGTGTGTGTGTGTGTGTGTGTGTGTGTGTGTGTGTGTGTGTGTGTGTGGTACCAGGTAGTGCCCCAGTGACCTCCACATAGTGACACTGACGTGCAACAATGATGAATTCCCTGAGAGAGTGAAGTAAGGACCCACCTGGATAATGTTAAAGTTAAAAACTCAGAAACTTTAAACGTTACAAGATGCTGACCTCCTTGTTTAATTAAGTGCAGCGTTTTGCTTTTAAACATTTACTGCCACCCACTTCACTCTTCCTGCAACACCTCCAATTAAATTTAGCCTTTAACAAATCCACGAGTCTTTGAGAAATGCCGAAAGTGATGGAGACCACGGCTGAAGATAAAATGCAGAATGAGAGCACTGATGTTTTAATCTGTTGCTTGTACGAAAGACACAAATAGTTTTAAACATTAAATGTGAGCGACGACAGAGTGTAACTTTTGACCCCTGTGAGTAAGTATAGCTCAGGCGGTCTGTGCACCACACACAGAGTATATTTCAGTGTGAAGCTGTGACCCCCTTGTTTTCCAGTAAGAGGAAATTGTCATGCAATGACCCAGTGACCACACTGGAAACCACTTCCCCCTTTGTTATGATTTTGTATGGCTTAACCACCTCATTTCCCATGTTCTGGTCCTGCAGAATACGAGTCTACTCCACGCATTTTGTCACATCCTCATTTCTCCTGTGTTTCTCTGACCTTTTCCCTGCTGTGTTGACAAAGACACCAGAATCCTCAAAATTGTGATACTTTACAAATGTAGCGTCCGAAGCGCTCTATGTTTAGTGCGTGAGTGGGCTGCAGGGAGACTGTCAGACGTAGACCAAAAACAAACACTGACATTGTGCAGTTGTTTTTGTGTGCGCTGAAATAGTTTGTTTTTGTCTCATCCACATACTCTTGAATTCAAACTTTGTATTTTACACGTTAGAAATGATTTCATACTGTTCTTTAAAGAGAATCATACTCAAGAATTACGTTTATGACAACACGTTAACGGCAAACTGACTTGTTCAAGATCAAAATTCAATACATCTGACCCTCTTTTCCTCTCCACGCATAGTTTTCTTTGCAGAAAAGCCACTAACACTTTCACTTCATTGTTCATATGTCAGAACCTACGGTTACATAATTAGAAAAGCCTCCTCGCGGCTCCTGGTTGATTAGGAATCAACAATTAGATAGTTTTGTGGGGCGCTGAAGAAACACAATCACCTCTTTATACTCTGGCTCTGCCGTAACCACCTCAGAGCCCATGCAAGGATGTAGATTGAATTATATTTTACATTATGGAATTAAGCTCTTAGGGGAAATTAGCCAAATAGTTGTGTTTCTGTGTAATTAACGAAAGACGGAGAGGGGGTGGTGGACGCTGGAGGCCATACACACCACACATAAGAGTTTTGACTATTTCAAGGGGCCAGTACAGTTTGTTCTGGCCATAGATGTTCTGTGGTATGACCCCCTTTCCCTCCGATTCTCCCTCTCTCTGTTTCTTTCTCTCAATCTCATTCCCCTCTCTCCATCCCTCTTTTCAGTCCATGGCAATTAGGGAGGAAAAGTGGGAGAGGAGGAATGTGTGAGCACGCTTTGTGAGGATTGGGAGAAAGAGAGAGGGAGTACAAGAGAGAAAGTGAGAGATAAAGAGAGAGCGAGAGATGAAAGAGAGACAGAAGAGGGGAGGAGAAGAAGGAGAGGAGAAGGCCTGTCTTAATTGGCCTGTGTGGCCACACTGGGCTGTGATGGTCTGGGCTTGCCAAACCCTGTGCCTCAATAGTTGGCCTGGCCTTACATGCATCCCGTGCATCCGGCCAACCACAACTAACTCTAGTGTGCTCTTTGGCAGTTTCCAATGTCAGGCCTGGGAGAGTTGTGCCACCCACATCTACACTCCGCTCCACAGTTCAGGAGGCCTCTCTGATGGGGATGGATGCACGGCTTTGGGTTCATGGTTTATTTGGCTACACCACTTTAGGTTGAGGTGGCATTTCTGCGTTCCTTCCATTGTTTACTTATTTAGGATAATGTTATAGTGATTTCAAGTCTCGGCTCCGCATTTAGAAGCATGTGTAAATTTAAATTGGACAACAAGTTAAAATGCACCTTCCCAAATTACATGCATACCTTGGACACGAGACAAATCCTTTCTAGCCTTTTTACATCGTTCAGCTCTGTGGATGTTTTGACGGAAATAAATCGTTAATATGATAAATGACACTGTAATCTCCCTGAGTCTATCTACACTAAACTCCCACACCACTGCAGTATCAGCTTTAATGATCTTAACAAGACCAAACCTACACAACCATCAAACTCAACAGTCATGAAACAAGTATGTGTCTTGGCTCACGCTGGCCCAGTTTAGCTTGTTTTGGTTGATTTATGCTGTGCCAGATGCTGCCCTGCCAGGCACAGTGGTGACGTGATGAGCCCTGAGGACCAGAGAGTCCCTGTTCTCATCTCCAAGCTCGAAAGACTCCCACTATGTATAAACACCTGCAGGGAACAGGCTGAGTCCCAGGGCGGGTACACACACACACACACGCGCGCACACAAAAACGCACCCACACACACACCTGTCGTAAGGGTAAAGAAAGTGTGAGAATAAAATGTTGTAATGGGAATGAGTAACACTGCACTAATAATGCATGTATCAATACAGGGAACTGAGTAATGCTGCAGGACTCACTTGCTGAAAGAGAAAATATGTGAACATCTGCATGTGTTTGCATGCAAGTTCAGTATGTGCATGATTGTGTGTGAACTTGTGAAGCCTCTAGCCATCTTTCAGAAATGAACTATTTTTGACAGCGTGCACTTCCAGCTGAGTGTTTTTCCCTCTTTTCACAGGACAGTGAACTCCTTCGTGGGGCAATGAGGTTTCATGAGACAGGCAGAGGTGATTTAATTGAGTGATTTATGACCATAAAGAACAGAACACACGCTCCTCCACAACGATAGCCGACCAGATTCTACACTGTTCCCAGAAGCAACACATTGCAGCCAAAGAAAAGGAGATTTCTGCCTCTTCTGGCTGTGCAGTTTGAACTCTCTCATCCTGCGCTGCACCAAGATAACCTCAGTGTCTAAAACAGTTCCCTTCTGGGAACGAATATACTCTAAATCTGCCCCTCAACAGACATCCCATGGGTGGGTATGTGTATGCATGTCAACAATGAAAGGTCGTGCCATTTTCAGCTACATGCATGTGATAATTTGAGACATGTTGGTTACTATACTTAGCCGCTGAAGTGCAGCTTGCTCCAGTAGTTAGCAAGCCGCTGGAGGATGGAGGGATGGATGTACGGATGGGTGTGTCGGAGGCAGTGAGAACAGGTCAGGTTTAGTGTGGCATGCAGCAGAGGAAAGGGCTGAGGAGTTGCGGCCAGCCAGCTTGCCACTCTGTGAGTGCTGATTTCCACTTTGGCACACTTTGCACAATCATGGAGCAGGAGAGAGACAGACAGACAGACGTGGAGGCAGGCGGAGAGATAGGGAGAGAAAAGGAGAGGAAAGGGAGGGAGTGAGGGGGATGGTGGGTGGTTGAGAGGAAGAGAGAGGGTGCTAAAAGCAGCTGGAGATTCTTTGCAAGGCCTTAAGATGTAATAAATCATTTACAGGGTACATACGGTTTAATTTATATAAAAAGATTTCAAAAATGGCCCTGGAGCTCTACACACAGCGAACAATGTTAACACACATCCAGGACAGGCAGATACACTGAACAAAGCAGTAAATCTTTTAGACGGTGTACGTTTGATAAAATGTTTTTTTTATTGATATTAAAAATGAAAGTACATGAATTGTGCATTTCGGACGTTCTAGCGTGCAGAGGTTAAATCAATAAAATACACACAGGCTGAGTGAGCTACTGACACAGAAAAAGTTGCCATTGCTCGGCAATGTATCTCTTCATATTCAGCGAAAAGAAGTGGTTGTCTTTCACGCCATTCATAAGAACACTAGAGTAGCCTGTTTGAACATTACAATAGTGAATGAATGCAGTCCTAGCAGGAAAATATAGAATAAAATAGAAAATATAATAATAATATCAATAATAATAACAATAATAATAATAATTGCACTGCCTGCTTTGTTGCACAACTGAAGTAGAATATAATTAGAGACAGGACGCAGCCTTGATAATTGAGATCTCTCTGACAGAAAGAAGATAGAAAGTATTGGGTTGACTCTTCACCGCAGTATGGCGAGTATCCATTAAGTCTCCATTTCATGGGGTGACGCATGACACAATGGAGGAGGAGACTATGATGTGGCACAGGATGACCTTGTTTCTGACATGGGCTTCAGTGGTTAGTTGCAGAGAGCTGTATCATTGTGGCCAGGTAACAGGTGACAACAGCTGCCCTTCCACAACTCGATATTACTTAGACACTCAGAGACTAACTCCACTTCTCCCTCGGAGAGCGTAGATTGTGTTTTTGTTCCTGAGTGCTTCACAAATGGTTCAGCATGTTAGCCCTTCATCAAAACGCATGACGGCTCCGCCACCACTGCAAATACACATACATAGTGGTGGTGTACGATCGGGGACATTGTCTTCTACAAACAGAGGACAGGAGAAAAGATAGATAGATGTAAGATATGTAAAAGACATTTATAAGATAGATAGATAGATAGATAGATAGACAGACAGACAGACATATAGATAGAAGATAGATCGATAGAGAGAAAGAAAGACAGATGAAAAGATCTCCTGATTAGACAATGACCTCTAGTTGACCTCTGATAGTTGCTAACGTCACGCTAACGACATCATTACCTCCAATTAGGGCATAGACACATGTGAGTCACATGTAAGCTGAATCCTAACTCTGCTCTACAGCTGACTGGACGTTTACGGCCTCGTGACCGGAACCAACACGCGGCCGTGGCACTGGCACACACGCAAGATGCTCCTCAGAAGACCATAGGACACCATGCATAATTACAAAGACATGATTTAATGAAGGACTGATCATTCTCCCCGCCATCAATACTAAAGTGGCTTTAAAAAAAACATAGTGGGTTTGAGTACAATCAATGTTGAACAGTTACTTTTTTTTCCAATGATAAAATCACTCAATGATGCTTTCCTTTTTCACAGACAACCCTGACAGGCTTCTGGAAGTCCATGCAGACCCAACGTATTCAGAGTATGTGCCTATTTCTGTGACATAAGATGCCTAAGCAATCCAGGCTATGCTGCTGTTAAAATATTAATTTATAGTAACTATGGAAAACAAAAAAAAAAGGAGAAAAAAAAGAGACATTATTTTTGGTACAAAGCATCTACAAAAAAGCCTTACAACTCCAATTGGAAAACAGAGATCATACAAAATAAATCCGTCAGTTGAGCATCAGTGCTACGTATATTATTTGGACCAATTTTTCAAATATATTTTATAATAAAATAAATAATGCCTTTATACAGTGCCCTTATTTGTATTTCAACAAACAAACAAAAAAGCTTGGCGGCTCATTACGCAAGATACAGCTCAGACTAAAGGAAAATAACACAACGTCCCTGGAAACTAATTATATATCTATATTTATATATATGTATATATACAGTATGTATATATACATATATATATAGATGTATATATATATATATATATTCAAGTATTTGTTTTCAGGCAAAAGCATGTGAATACTACTGATATACAATAAAAAATAAAATGTTAGTTGACATTATTGCTGTTTTTTTCCCTTTGAATTGAAATTTTGTGCCTTTCTTTAGAACTGTAAAATTACATCATAATAATTACCATGGAAACAGAAAAAAATGCCTAACTTGCAAAAACAGGAATGTCACGGTACCAGAAACTGACGGGGTTTTCCTTTTTTCATTGAAACATTGATGTGAAAAGAAAACAGAAAAAAAAAAGACAAAATAAAATATAATCATCATTATCCCACTCGCTCTATGTCCATGCCATGAAACTTCCTGTCAGAGCAGTCTGCAAAGCCATGGCGAACAGGAAGTACTGTCCCAGAACTGTAGTACTGTCCCAATCCAGCCGGTCCACGGTGTCCCATATATGTGTCCCCACACTGCTCCCTGTGTCCGGCAGCCTCAGAGGGACGGGAGGAACGGGGGACTGGGTCTCAGGTCCCTCTTGCCGCTTATGCTGGCAAGCTAGTGATGAGCAGCCGCTAGCACTCGCTGTGAGCCCAGACGCCAACACAGCCCATATCTTTTCTCAGTGACACTTCCCCCTTGACATTGCCACTGCCAGGAGCGCCCCCAGATCCTTTATTTTCCTTTTTTTAAAGTCACACTTTCCTTAAAACGGAAAGTTTTAATATTCATTCAAAGAAAAAAAACGTGCTTTTCAACCTCTTCTTTGAGTCCATTCCCAAAGCTAGCACCATGACATTTTTTTAAGCTACACGTTCATTGTTCATAAAAAAATAGTGCCATTTTTTTCTTTACTTTGACGTAATCCGTGGCAATGTGCAATTTTGCAGACTCTTTTCTGCTTTTTGTTTGTGATCAAAAGGTGCTGGAACAGGAATCTAATTTTACAAAATAATTCCTTACAGTGTGGAAGTCCCTTTATAGGTAGAGGTGCAAACTAATGAGAAAAAGAACTAACAGAGATTTTCTTTTTGCCTCAGGAAAAATGATGTGGAATGGATTCTTTCATGCAAGCTGCTCTTCACTTTCAGTTGTCTTCCGCAAGGACAAAAAAACATTCCGCTGGGTGTCCTCTTGACACTTGCGAACCACGGATCTCTTTCATCTTCTTTTCTCTCTTCCCTTTTTTCTTTTGCTTAAGGATCCACCTGAATTGCATTCAGCCGAATTGTTAACTTTTTGTTCATCATTTGTGTTTGTGCCTTTTGTGTCAGTGACTGAAAGAGAGGGAGCGAAAGACTTCAGACAGGAAGAATGTGAAGGCATGTTTGTGCGCCGGAGGAGGGTGGGTGGGTGGGTTTGACGGGGGCAATAGAAAAGAGCCAGAGGGTCAAGAAGTAGTGGATGAGAGCAGGGGGAGGGATTGGTGGGCTCGGACAGGGCAGGGGAGGTCAGAGAGGACTGCCACAGAAATGACGTCAGAGACAAAGCTATAATCCCCTAGTCTTTTTTTTTCTCCCTCCAAACTCTTGTCTGTGCAAAGGGCTGGCGGCGGGCTCATTTGTGGTTGACATAGTTGTCCGTGGCGAGCAAGACGGGCGGCAGTTTGCTGGGCAGGCTGATCAGGGGCCGGTGGAAGATTGCCTGCTCCTGTGCTTTGATCTTCTCCGCCTGCCTTCGAAACTTTTTGGCCCTCAGGATGGCGGGGACACCCCTCCGGAGCCGCTGGGCCGCCTTCCTCTGCCACACCTCGTATTTGGAATACTTCACGGTCACATGCTGCTTCCTCGGGACTTCCTATTGTGGCGTGCAGGCGAAAATAGAGGAAAAAGGGGAAAAGAGGATGTCAGTTCATTAGTGTTGATAAGATACGGTGCGAGAAGTTATTACAATGGAGTAAAGCTTTGTTTACTTTCTGAAAAGATTCAGTCATTGTTGGGCCGCTCGAATGGAAATCAAATGTCATTCTTATAGCGCTGAGCGTCATAACAGACTCGCCTCGCCTCTGACTTGCCCTTGTTTTGGTTTCCTTGACTGAGAGAAGCTGTCAACAAGTGCTTAGTTCAGCCTCTTTAACATACTGTCAAAAGGAAGGGCGGTCACTCGCCTCATATACATATGAGGAGCACGTCGCCGCTCACCCAACGACCCGCTGAACTGACTAACCTCCGCAGACCAAACCAAACCACACATTGTCATCTCAAAGCCTCTATTCGTGCACAGGAAAATCTTCTGAACAACACGAGGTGTTGTGTTGGGCACCACAGACGGAGACACAGTGGGAGTGGCGTCAGCGCAGCTAGAATTTATGCGCGAGTAGCAAGTGCTTCATCTGAATGGCTTGTTTTGGTCCTGCCACTTGAAGAGTGTTTATCCCCCTTCATTCACTTCAGGCCTGCTCAATAGGCTAAACACAGCTGGCCCTCGGAGCAGCCTGTACCCATCAACTCTCCCTGCCCAGACAAACTAGGGACATGTCCCAACTAATTCCCTCGCAGCCTCTTTATCGTATTTCAGACAGAAGAACCATTACGTTCCTCCTCCGTTTGTCATATTCATCCATTTTTTTTTTTTTACGTCACGAGCAATCTCACGCAACGGACACTGATTTTCTAAAAAGTCGAAGCAGAAACACTTCAGACGTCCTTCTCTTCTTGTCCGAGAGAAAGGCTGAAGGGATTTTTTAAGAGGTCTGGAAAGCAGCCACAGCTCAGTCTTGTGACCAGCCTCGGCTCAGTCTTGTGAAAGACCCTGAAACGCTTTGACGGCCGCCTTCATGTTTGTGACATATTTCAGACGACCTCTGCTGGCCAGCTCAGGTGTTTTTGACCGCAAGGATCAAAACGCACGCCAGTTTTGGGGAGCTTGCTGTTCCGTGACTAATAATCAAACACTCAGAACACATTGTTTTGTTCCGGACCAACAGTCTTCGCGATCTCACAGGTTTTCTTTCTCTCACACATGCACGCACACACGCACGCACACAAACACACACACACTCCAGTCTCTGAGAATGACTCTGCCTTTTCCTAACTCTAATGTGCTGTGACTGTCTCTGTGACTGTTTTCCACGATGATCAGCACTTTGCATGAAAGGTAACTGCTTACCAGTGACCATTTAACAAGATAAACCTGTCTCTGCGTGGGTTTCAGTCTGCACTCAGTGTCAGGGACATGGGGGCAAGGCTCAGAGGTGAATAGAGGCGCAGGAGATCGAAGTACAGATATGGAGGAGGATTAGCATTGTTTCCCATACTGGTGTGTTGCTGTTGTTCTTAAAATGTACCTGTTTTAGTGCGGGCATCACGGGAATGACCTGTAGAGAGGTGGCCGACACGTCCCTTTCGGACTTGGCGGGTTTGGCACAGTACTGCTCCAGCAGGTTGAGGTCACAGCTACGGAAACAACATTCCTCTACGATCCCACGGTTCTGGGGGCGCCGGTTGCTACCCCTGCTGGTTGGCCTACCTGAGGAGAAACAAGGTGAAGACAGGCGATGAGGAGGGTGAGGTTAAGGCCTGAGCACACAACACTGGCATCAGTAATGAATCTAGGTTGTTTTTGCAGGATTACTTAAACAATCATAGCAGTCCACGGGGCAAAGAGGATAAAAGGAAATCTATGACCAACAGCAACAAATCTTTTTGTTTGTAGAGGATAATCTGATTAAGGCTATCTGGAAGTCCTTTAATGAGTGAATACACAAGTAAACACCCTGCGCTGTGGACACTGAAAGAGTGTGACAGAGACCACTAGGCTCTCAGACAGACCTTTGGGTGAGCAAATACATAAAATGGAAACTCTTCTGTGACCTTGTCCTTTATCAAGTCAGCAGAGATAAAGAGGATGAGGAAGGAGCGAGCAGAGGAGGGGCAGCGAGGTAGAGAGAAAACAGGGATCAGCATAGAGAGGTGGTCAAAACAGAGGGGAAGAATACAAAACAAAAGAGGGAGAGAAGAGGCATGAGAGTAAAAGGTAGAGAACAAGGTGAGGGCGGATGGTTAGCATGTTGCACAGGGGAGCACTCTCCGCAATCAATACAGGCCTTGTTTGAAGTCCTGTGCCCCACAAACAATGTTGGAGAAATCTCATGAGAGGGGAGGCTAGATCTGAATGAAGGAAGAGGAACATGTGAGAGAAAAGAGAGGGTGACCCAGGGGGAGGAGAAGGCAAAGAGAGGAGGAGGAAGGGGGAGGCACATCTATGTTGGCCCAAATTGGATAATGATCTTTCTGATTGGGAGAGAAGCTTCTGTGGCAAGCAGCGCACAAAGAAGCCCGCCTGTCTCACAAAGGCGAAAAACGCAGAGGGTGGGAGGTGGGCTAATATCATTTTGAAGAAAAAAGAGGAAGAAGAAAAAAAAGTGTCTCCTCTGCTGCGGAGACGACACCAGAGGTGAAGTTGTGTTTGTGGCAAACTCTGCACTCTGTGCAAACAGCAGCTTATCTACTGGGAGGATTAGCAGCCACCACAATGCATTCACACAATGCTTTACAGCTATTCCCATCATTGCCACAATGGAAGCAATGATCAGAATTGATGTTAATGATCTTTCCTCTTAACCTGACATCACCCCCCCCTCCCCTCCCCTCCCCTTCTCTCTCTCTCCCCTCCTCCTCCCCCTCTCTGCTACTCATCAGTGTGGTCGCCTGGCCTGGGAACACTGGTGCTGAGGTGACTGGTATGCCTCTTGGGGTGCTATTACTTTACTGGTAAACAAGCGGCCCATTGTGTCGCGCTGGGTCGTGTGTGCCTTCACACAGCTCGCCGGCCTTTCATATGCAATGAGAGGTGCGGGCAGAATGCGCACGCTCAGCAGAGGAGCGGCCTGGACGAGGTCTTGGAGGCGCACAGCTGGCTATAATCTCCCTCTCACTCTCCTTTCTGTCTCCCACTCTCTGTGTGTGTGTGTGTGTATGTGTGAGAGGGAGAGAGAAAGAAAAACACCATACACGCATACCACACAGCCACAGACAAGAGCGAGATAGACTCAGCTATCCAAACAGATGTGCGCGAACGAACAACAGAAAGACTCCACAGAGAGGAAGAAAAAAAAGAATAGATTCAACATTCGTGCAGCTCGTGTTTTAAAAGAAAATGCATCGAAACCTACTGAAATAGAAGCCTCTGTCTTCACAGACAAACTGCAGCGCATCCACCAGCTCTCCCCCACACAGCGTCTCCGCCGAGGCCATTTCCACAACGTAGAGCGTCAGGGCCAAAGCAAACAGCAGCGCACGACTGGACGAAGACATCTTCTTGACCTGCACACAAGAAAACAACAACAAAATAAAATAAATACGACATTTTCAGCACAAAAACATCGGCTCAACAAATGCAACCATGCGTTTCCACGAGTCGTGCACATGAAAGCTTGTGTGGAAATTCTCAGATGACAGCCAGATGTTGGGAGTGATACAGCTGTAAGAGGATCCACTCTGTGCGCACTCACATTTGCGCGCAAGATGTTCGACTTCCAGGGTTTAAGTCTCTTGTTCACGCACTGACCCACTAACTCAGGACTAAAAACGGTCTCACCGCACGAAACAAAAGGTGCCAAATGTGCAGTTTTCACCTCCACCTCCACAGTTATCTCTTGTCACCATGTGGCACCTGAGAGAAGTGCTTATTCTGCAGGAAAAAAAAACTGAAGGAGACGGTATCTCTGCGCCTCACTCTCTTACACAACTCCCCCCCCCCAGAAGTTGCAAGACCGGCTGCTCGATAGTTAACTATCTGAAAAAGCCAGACTCAGCATATATTCCCCCCCTGCTCACCCTGTAGCGAGCTCACTGACCCTGCAAACCTGCTGCACCGCCCCCTATCTGCCGGCGAGAGGACCAGCTGTTTGCTGCGAGTCCCCCCCGCAACATCCAGACCAAGAGCAGAGACACAAGGAGAATAAAAAACACCTCTCAACTCCTTTTTTCCCCACATCCTCCTTTTCACATAACCTGTTGCAAAAGCTGCCCCCCCCCCCACCCCCCACCCCCCGAAGGCTTCATCCAAGGCACGTCTGCAGACTGAAGTTTCTCCCCTTTGCATGCAAATGAAAATGCCACATTGCACAAAAAAAAAAAAAAAATTAAAGAAAAAGCGAGCAATGCATGAGCTCAAGAAGACGCAGCTACACCTCAGAGCCAGAGGTCTTTTAAGAGTACATGCACAGGTTCCCCCTCTGGTTACCTTCAGTCTGCTGCTCTCCGCTCTCCGGCAGGTGTGGCAAAGTGAGTGCTGTCCGTGTCTTTGCTGGGTCTCCATGTCAGATGGCAGTAGTCAAAGTAAAAAATAAAGAAGAAGAAAGCGTTGTGGTTGAGGTGGTGGAGGGGTATTTGGTTGGAGGGATTGCAGGTGAGTTAGTTTCCCAGTTGGTGAGGCTATAGGGATGATGTGTGACAAGCTGTCCCAAAGACCAGGCGACAGGCAAAACTTCACAGTGAGAAGTGTTATATACCAAAACACGCCCCTCGTTCCCACACCCCACCCCCTCGCTCCTCCTCCTCACGGCTGGTAAAAAAAAAAAAAAAAAAAAAA